AACAAAGGTCGTGGCCAGAACACAGTTTCAACTGTTACAAATGGCCCTATGGTTTTCGCTGTGAGGTAACAGCAGTGTATTTCACATACAGGCAAGTCACTCAGCTGAGAGAGTTAAGTAACTATATGAACTGTAAATAATTTCACACTTCTCACAGAGCACGAGATTGTACCCAAGACATATCTACTGCAGAATTTCATTGTGCAAGAAATCTTCCCTTTACGGTAGTACCATTCAGAGAAAGTACTTCCATTATGCAAATATAAATGAGAAGCCTAACGTTATGATAATTTTTCCTAACATTTAGTCATAATCCACTTTCCTGTCATTTAAATCCATTATCATGTCATGCACACATTGGAATGAAAGAGATGGTACTATAAAGATGATTGTTTTCATAACTTGCATCTAATAGTAATAGGCATCTAATTGCATCTAATAAGGTAGTAAGCATTTACCTTGCACAGGATTTCTCATATCATTACATCCTTTATTATTTCATTTATTGAAACTGTTAATATTTATATATTTTTTAAATGAAAAGTATTCATACCTGTGGAAGAAACTGGCATAGATTGCCCACTTGAATATTTAAAGCAGAGACTTGTTCCTCCACCATTTTCAGAGTGCAGGGGATTTTATTAAGAAACCAAGTTGACTGATTGTTTGATACAGACATTTCTCGTGTGATAACAACATTGTTCGGCATCTTATACCTAATGGTCAGAAAATAATTGTAACAACTTACCTTAGGCTATGGTAATATTTAGCACTATATATGTACTATTAAAATAAACAAGTATATCTCAATGTTACACTTTCTCAACAATTTTTCAATAACATTAATTTTCAAGTACAGGTAGTTCTCGATTAACTAACACAGCTCAAAATTTCTGTTGCTAAGTGAGACATTTTAAAGCGAGTTTTGCCTCATTTTATGACCTTTCTTGCCACAGTTGTTAGTGAATCACTGCAGTTGTTATGTTAGTAACATGATTGTTAAGTGAATCTGGCTTCCCCACTGACTTTGCTAATCAAAAGGCTGCAACAGGTGATCATATGACCCCGGGACACTGCAACTGTCATAAATATGAGTCAGTTGCCAAGTGACTGATTTTGATCACATGACCAGGGGAATGCTGCAATGGTCATAAGTGTGAAAATCTGTCAAAAGTCACTTTTTTCAGTGCCACTGTAACTTTGAATGGTCACTAAAAAACTGTTGTTAAGTTGAATACTACCTGTACACTTGTGAAAACGGACATATAAACAAGTCTCATTACTCACACCTCAATTTCAACTGTTCCTTTATTGCAACCTCTCTTCACATAATGACCAACCTGAACAAAAGGAAAAGATACACAGAGATAATTAATTTATAAGTATTGCATATCATTGCATATTATGAAATACCTATGTAGAATTGTTTAATACAAATTGGGACAGGATATCAGTGAAATGAAAAAAGAATGCAGAGAAGAGTAAGTATAAAGAGGTATCATTTTTGTTTATCTAAACTCAACATACAATCCAGCAGAATTTCTCTAACTCATGACAGAAATCATAACTGCCAGTACAATACAATATTTATAACAAAATATGCAATTTAGTAAGTAGCATAAAAGTAAAGAGAGCAGAATTTGATATTTAGTCACCTTTGAAATCATTACAGTTAAAACAATCCAGCAGATGCAATACAGTATTGGCATAACAAAGAAGAGAGAAGAATTAAGGAGAACCAATGAACGAATTATACTGAAGGACAACAAAACATTCCAGAGGTTAAAGTTGTTTAGAAAAAGAAGTAGACAAAATAAACCAGGCTCTCTCCTGGTTCTGTTAACCATGTAATGCCTTAGTAGGAACTAGAAAGCAGGCTGCCTTTGTTGTGGCAATTGCCCTCTAAAATAGGATCCCCCTTGAGGTTCAGATGACTCCCAGTTTAATGACTTTAAAACATGGTTTTGCCACTTGGTTTAGAGTAAGTAAGGATCCTTTTTTCTGTTTTATTTCTGCTGGTGGCAAAGAGATAATGCTATCTTTGGGTTAAATGTGATCAATTAATAAATATGAAAATCAATTCTGAAAGAGAGTACATTAAGGTTATTATATAAAGGACTATCATTTATTTGCTATGTATTATATGGAAATTATTTTATACAACCTAAAGATATATACCATATAACAGATGTCCAAACAATATCATAAACAGAACCAAACCAAATCCTTACCTTCTCAGCTCGTCCTATAAAGGAAGGTTTTCCTGCCAATCCAAGGCATATTGCACATACAATGCTTGATTTACCTGTCCCATTAGCTCCCACTATCATATTTAGATGAGGGCCTGGCAACACCACACAGTTATCATAGGTTCTGAAAACAAATTTTTAAAAGAAATATTAATAAGGAAGTTATTTTTAAGAATAAAAAGAAGAAGTTATGCCCTCAATGTTTTATTTTTTCCCTATTTTTTCCCTACTGTTTTGAGTTCTCATCAAAATAGAAAGGCAAGGTATAAAGCAAAGAAAGAAGCTAACAAATAGATACTGTATTTAAAATAATCTGACTTTAAATTTCAGCTCCAAAACAGAGAAAAATAAAATCATATGCCAGTTTATCAAATGACAAAGAAATTAACGTATCTTAACTGAAACAAGAATTCTATCTAAAGCTAACTTTTTAATGCTAGTCATTAAACATTTGCAATACCTCCCTTAGAGGTGGGAGTTATATCTATGTCTTCTATGGAAGAAGACAAATGTAGGGGGATGTAATACTTATATGGTGTGAAGAAAGTGAATAAGGAGTTTTTCATTGCAAATCATTTGTCAATTCAGTCTCATAGTATAACATTGGGCACATACTTGGGCAACTTTAATAAAGATTGTCAGTCAATCATTATGGCTAATTATTAGTTCCAGTACGAGGGGCAATATGCCTCTCAATACCAATTACTGAGAAACAAGAGCAGAAAATAGGTATTATTTGGCTTTGATTACAGTGAATATTTGGTTGGCTAGTGTAGTTTAAGTGGACTTTTAATCTGATTTATTTATTATACTATACTATACTATACTATACTATACTATACTATACTATACTATACTATACTATACTATACTATACTATACTATTATATTATATTTCTATACCGCCTTTCTCCCGTAGGACTCAAGGCGGTGTACAGTCAAGAAAAATATAGACACACAAACATCATAAAATTGCTAATTAAAATTATTACTTAGTTTGGTCAATCAAATAAAACCCAGAATTAGATAACATTTAAAAAATCATTCACATGTTCGTATGTTTAGCCCCGCCTGTTGGAACATCAGGGTCTTGAGGGCTTTAGCAGGGACCTTTCATAAATACTTGCAAATTAAGACATAGTGACCAAGTAATAAACATCATTATAGAAATAGCACACCCTCATTTAATATAGTAACTGTGCAGCTGCCCCAGGGTATTCAATATTATTCACTACCAAAGCAACGTTTACTGGATTTCAGCTCATTGAGTGCATGTTTATTTAGTGACCTCACCAAAGCTAATAGACCATAATTTGCTCAGCAATATCAATCCTATGCTCACTTATATGAAAGCCCATCTTTTTGAATTTGGAATGGAGTCCCCAATCTTCTCCCCTCCCGATAAAGTGGCTTAAAACTACTTTCACCTCCATCCAATACAACTAGCCATACTGATTTCAAGTAGAAGAAATTATACTCAACAACTATCAAATATATGTTGGTTTGGAAAATGCTGCTTTCAGTAAAGAGTCAGAGCCTCTTTAACTAGTCTATGTCTAGTCTAGTCTGGTCTCTTATGGGTAGTCTAGAGAAAAGAAGGAACTAAGGTATTCCAGTATTTGAAGGGCTGCCACAAAGAAAAGGGGGTCAGCTTGTTTTCCAAAGCACCAGAAGGCAAGACAAGAAACAATGGATGGAAAATAATCAAGCAGAGAAGCAACCTGGGATTAAGGAAAAAACCTTTCCTAATAGTGATAACAATTAAGCAGTGGAAAAAGTTGCCTCCAGAAATTGTGGGTGCTTTATCACTGGAGGTTTTAAAGAAGACAGCCGCTTGTCCAAAATGGTATAGGATCTCCTGCTTAAGCAGGAGGTTCGACTAGAAGACCTCCAAGGTCCCTTCCGGCTCTATTCTGTTTGATTGACTCCCTGTTCGTCCCTTCCTGAGGAAAGTTGAGAGTCCCCCGTTGTATAGATGGCCAGTGGGGGCACGACTGTACAGGCAGCAAGGGGAAATCAGAAACCGTGGGCTACCGACCCACTACTAGGCACTACAGACTCTCTATTCGACTCCAAGCAATTACTCCCTTTCCATTTAAAGGCCATGGGACGTCTCTAGGATCTGAGGTAAAGTGTATGAAGATGAACCTGATTTTTGTGACGGGGCAACTACTGCTGGGAACAAAAGAAGGCATTAGGGCCCTCTTGGATTTAGGGTAAGCAAGGCTGAGAGCGCCCGGGCAAAACACCATCCAGGGATACCACCGAAGAACCCACCGAACCCACGAGGGTCCCCACGAACCCTCCGGTCGCGGGAGAAAAAGTTTCCCGAGAAAATAGAAAGCCCCGCCTCTCGGCCTTGAAAGAGGCCACACCCACTGCGCCTTTTTTTTCCTCTCCCCCCCCTCTCCACTGTTATTGGCCAGCCGTAGAGCCGCTGCCCGTGTGCCTTTCGCACTCACAAGAAGTTTTCCATGGAGATTCTCACGATAGCGCCCTCGACGAACGTTGGACTCGCGCTTCGTCGATCGCCCGATCGCGACTGGCTTTCCCTCGAGGTTCGTTTATTAGAGCGAGTCCTGCCGTCGCTGCTCCCCGCCGCCTCAGTATCATCAGATTTACGCTTGGCAGAGGCCGCCATCTTTGCCGCCTCCCGCAACAACTAATGCGAATTCTAAGATGGGCTAGGCGAGCGACAGTGCGCGCTCGATTCCCATTGGTTGCTCTGATCTCTCGTTAGGCTGCCGGCGAATGTCATTGGTTACCACAATCCCCCGTCTCGTGAGTGTTTCCGTTAGAAGAAAACAGGACACCATTTCCTCTTTTTTTCTGTTGCATACCGGCCGGGAAGGAAGCTCAAGAGATCTCAATGTGTATTGGATGGTGAGGAAAACAAGGGCGGGAACGAGCGTTTTTACTGGGTGCGAAAACCAGTGGGGCGTTTCTCCGTGAAACCTTGAGCTGTTCTGGAAGCCGTTTTGCAAATCAAGCCTTACTCCTTAACAATTTGTAGTAGACATTATAAGTACATTACGAATTAGGATTAGTAGATTTGGACGGCAGAAACTTGCTCTGTTGCTACCTTAGCGGTCGTCCCCAATTTATACGAGGGAGAATTTTTGGCCCGCTTAGAAAAAGCCTCTCCCTGATGAACCAAAAGTAGTTGCTTGTGATTAGGAAAGGGGGTAGGTAGGCGCGCTAGTTGGGAGCAGGAAAAAAAATGAGTATCGTACAAAACTGACAAAGAATACATAGTTTCTAAACCAACCCATGTCAGTGCAGAATAGGATTGCCAATCACAATTATCAATGAGCGTTAACAGAAGTAACTATGGCAGAGGATGGGGTTGAACACAAGCATCACCACATTTATGTGATCCTTATCTAGCCAAGACTTTCATTGCTTTTTTTTTTTTGTCCTCTCAAGAGTTTAGGATAAACTAAGGCAATTTGGCTTTCCATGGGAAAGTATTTTGTGTGCATCATTTTTCCCCAGCTTCATGTCCTCCAGATTTGTAAACTATTCTGTCACTGGTTAATTGGGATTATATTCTAAAATATTTGGACCAGAGGTGTTCAACTTTGGCAATATTTTAAGACCTGTGAATTTCAAATCCCAGAATCTCCCAGCCAGCATGAGACAAGATCATGTGCGGAAAGATAAAGGTGAATCGATCTTTTGATAGGAAAAAAAGGGAGTAAAAATGATGGTAGAAAAAATGGCTTTTTGCTCCCTCCTTTTTTTTTCTAACAAAAGTTCAGTTCACTTCTTTTATTTTCCTGCACATGTGCTTATCTCATTCTGGAGTGGAGGTTGCAATCAAGATTAAAACTAGCCTAGTTTTTCAGGCACTGTTAAGCTTCTAGTAAACATAATACCAATGCCTTGATTATAGTTAAGACTTTCAGTCCTGTAAGCATATTAAGACAGAAAGGAATGAAAAGTATTAGTATGTTCCTATCTTCATTGTGGAGTTTATTTTACTTCTATCTGCCCATTTTTGTTTCAGTTAATGATGTTATGTCTATCTGGATTTAATGGGCTCTAAGGAAGATACTGGAAATGTTCAAAGGTTAATGATAAAAGTGAATTATTGTTTTTGGCACATAACCCTTACATACTTTTGTTTATAAATCACCTAATTCTACCCATCTGTGCTTTCCATTATTTCAATACCCACTTTTATTTGTGTGCAGCAAGAGGAAAGCACTACACAGAAAAAGGAATCTAGCTCTTATAAATTTATTTAATTAGTAGAATGTCAAGGCCATTTGACTCCAGACAAATGGATTACATAATAAAAGGAATTAAAAACAAGACCATGAGTTTCCCAATCTCTGAAAGGAGGGAACACAACACCCCAAGGGAAAAACAATGGGATAAATAGCCATCCTACCTCAAAACCTGGGACCAGAGCCAAGTTTTCAATGACTTTGAAAACACCTTCATGGTAAATTTTATAGATGTCTTTTCTAGCTTGCAGATACTGTAACAGAAGTAACTTTCTAAGTTCTGATAGATCACATTGATTAATTGAAGGGACCAGGAGCCCATCCACTCTGCCAATTTAGGGTGAGACAGAATGGGAATGCTCCTGATCTCTTCAGCTAAATATGTCATCTAGTGGGATCAAAGAAGTATGCCTTTTCTGTTATGGTGCTTTAGGATAAATTTAGATTCTGAAATGACCAGGATGTGGCATTTAACAGAAAATTAATTAATCAATTAAATTAATGATACAATATTCATAGAAGTGTAAAAAAGGCAAGATGGCAGATATCGTACTGTGATGCAAGCTCTGCCCTTTTATATGTATACTAATGTGGAAGGGATGTGATTTGCAGTTTTCACCCTTATCACAGATGGTACTGATCCAATTCAGTTCAATCTTTTATTACAGTCATGGACCAATCCACATATATATAATCCATTATATTATATTATATATATATATATGTATGTATGTATACAGTATATGTATACTTTTTCTTTCTCTGTGCTACATTATAACAAATAGGCACTGTTGACTTACTATTCTTTTGAAAAATCAGAACATACAGGATTTTTGCAAGTTCGTAAGTTATTAAACTAGAGGGTGTTATTTTTTAAATCTCCACTAGATGTCAGGAGAATATCACAGGCAAGAAAGAAATGTATGAACAATTAAACCATTTACTTCCTATTTTTGACCCAAAAAAATGGTGGAATATAATGACAGCCTATAACAGTGATGGCTAACCTTTTGCCATTGCATGCCGGGAGGGGGAATTCACGCATGCATGTGCCCACACCCATAATTCTATATGTCTCACTCATGCACGCGTGACCCCCCCGTCACCCCCCTGCTTCTGACACGAGATGGTCCGGTGGGCCTGGTAGGCGTGTTTTTCTCTCTCCCCAGGCTCTAGAGCCTTTCTAGGAGTTGGGAGGGAGGGTGAAAACAGCCGTCCCCAACCCCCCCCCCCCCCCCCCGGAGGCCAGAAACAGCCAGTTTGCCAACTTCCGATGGGACCGGAAGGCCCGTTTTTCTTTCTTCCCAGGCCATTTGTTAACTTCCGGTCCCATCGGAAGTTGGCAAACGGGCTGTTTCCGGCCTCTGGAGGGCCTCCAGGGTGGAGAGGCTGTTTTCACCCTCCCCAAGCTCCTAGAAGGGCTTGGAGCCTGGTGAGAGAAAAAAACGCACACTCACCTCCTCTCCCCCCCCCCGCCCAGGCCCTCCAGAGGCAGCCTGTTTCCCTACTTCCAGTGGGCCCAGAAGGCCCGAAAATCAGCTGAGCTTCCGTGCCCACCGATATGGCTACGCATGCAACAGGTGGCACGCGTGCCATAGGTTTACCATCACGGGCCTATAATAAATGATGTAAAAATGTAATTCTATTTAAATGTGTAATGCAATAAAATTAAAATTATTAGAAACACTGCAGTGAATGGTATTAACACAACTACTGTACTAATAATATTTTGTGGAACAAAATAATGGAAAAATGGATATCTATCTGAATTGGATATAAAGATCTAGGTTTTTACATCCAATAATGTTAATTCACTGCTTGGATGAATGGTATATGCACACTCTATTCTTTCCTATTGACTTTATGCAAATTGCAGATTCCAAGAATTATGGGAGATTTTAGAAATTTTTTAGAGATTTTGGAAACGCTGGAGGAAATGTTAGATGTTAGTGTAATCCCAGTACTTGACATGACACTCATTCAATGGCATAATGAGCATAAATCAGGCAGGCTTACATTCCTAGGAAGATGTTAATACAGATACCGTATTTTCCGGCGTATAAGACGACTTTTTAACACATGAAAAATCTTCTCAAAAGTCGGGGGTCGTCTTATACGCGGGTGTAGTTCTCCTGTAACCCGAAAGGCTCTGACGAGCCTTAAATGGCTCTGGTGATCCCAGCTCTGGCGATCCCAGCTCTGACAATCCCAGCTGAGTTCCCTGCAACTCAGCTGGGATCGCCCAGAAACCACGTAAAAGGAAAAAGTTTTTTCCCTTTTACTCTGAGGATCCCAGCTCTGACGATCCCAGCTGAGTTCCCTGCCAACTCAGCTGGGATCGCCAGAAACCATGTAAAAGGGAAAAAGTTTTTTTCCCTTTTACTCTGAGGATCCCAGCTCTGATGATCCCAGCTGAGTTCCCTGCAACTCAGCTGGGATGGCCAGAGCCATGTAAAAGGGAAAAAGTTTTCCCCCTCCAGCTTGCTTACCCAGCTGCTAATCGCAACGCTTGCCTTGCTTTGCTTGGTTGAATCTATTCAGGCAAGCAAGCAACTCCCTGCCTGCAATCAAGCAAGGAGTTAGTTGTGGACTTCAACTCCCAGAATTCCTCAGCCAGCAAAGCAAAGCTGGCTGAGGAATTCTGGGAGTTGAAGTCTACAAGTCTTAAAGTTGCCAAGGTTGGAGACCCCTGTTCTATTGGGTAAAGATTTTTCCCTTTGGGAGCTTTTAAAAAAATAGTCAATTGGGGTTTTTTTAGTTGTTCTTTTTTAGACCTAGCCATTTAGGAAGCCTTTTAGGAAGTTTTAAATTTAGCTTTCATATATAAAAATAAAAATAAAATAAAATAATATTTGTGCAGCTTCTGAGATTTAGTGTGTTTCTGTAGTGTTTCACTCCAACTACACAAACACACAAAATCTCACAAAGCTGTATGTGGAATTTTGTGTGTGTAAAGTGTGAAAGTTGGTTTTTTGGACTTTTTGTGGCTGTGTGAGGTTCCTGCTTGTTGCAGGGGCAATTTTGGGTCTAGCACAGCTGCTTTTACATTGTAGGTGAGCCAGTTGATGTTTTTTAATTTTTATTTGGTGTGCATTGGAAGAGGGGCAGTCTTATATGGCAAGTATAGCCCAAACCCTATATTTTAAAGGAAAAGTTGGGGGTCGTCTTATATGCCCAGTCGTCTTATACGCTGGAAAATACGGTAATCTTGCAGATCATTCTTGCAATCATTTGAAACGCCCCTTCTCCAAATTGCACAATTTGGAGAAGGAAGGTTCTGAGGGATGGTGAGAATTGGGCCCACTTGACATGAGGTGGTCTCTGTAGAAGGCCACACCCTGTATCAGCTGGGCATGCCTGTCAGAAAAACAACACAAAGGTAAATGGACCCAGGTGTAATGGGTGGGGAAGGGTTCAGGCAACTCAGCATGAGATGGGGGAGAAGGCCTAGACCTCCCAGCCTGCAACAGGTTTCCACGCACCTCTGGGCACTAAGCTCCCCAAGCCTCCCACACAAGTTACTCCATGCTCCAGTTAACGTTCCATGAGATTCTTTACAGCCACTACTATGAAAGTCAGTATTGTGACCATTGAGCAAAGTGATTATGTGGATGTTTTGCTTAACTATTTCTTTACTTAATGACGAGGTTCCAGTCCCAATGGTGGGGTAAATTACTTTAATCTGGATTTCATATGAATGGCAACAAAGCCAGGTACATAATATTAACAGAATTGTTTACTACAGCAATTTGCAAGTTATGTTTACATTACAGACCATATTTTTTTTCATATACATTTCATAGCTAGCTAATTAAAGCAGTCTGGTCTGGCAGTTTCCACTGTAGGATGATTGTGGAAGAAACATCAATTTTATTTTTTAAAAAATACATTTTGGCCACAGGTAGAGTTAAAGTGAATTAAAAACACATTTTATTAGATCAATTAAAAATTATAAGAAAAAGCATTTGTACACACATATACATGTATGAAATGCATGTCCCTCTATACCTATCACACACTCAACATTCAAATGGGTATCATTTGTTTCAAACAGGAATATAATATTTTGTGGTTAAATGTAACTTAAAGTCGTTCTTGACAAGTCTATCAAACCACTAATATATTTAAAAAATTGCATTCCAAACAGTTTCCTCATATGTATGTTGTTCAATATTGTGTACTGCATTATATTTTTTATAGAACACTTACATAGATTTTATCTGTCAGCTGCAGCCTGGATAAATGGATTCATTATAATAATTATTAGCAAAAAACAGCACAAAAATTAAAATATCTTATTGGTGAGACCCTTAAATTGCAAATCTATGCACATCATCTGGGAGTCACTGTCATTGAGCTCAGTGCCATGAATTTCTGAGTGGACATGCATAAGATTCCATGATATTTGGCACAATCAAAAAGATTCCAACAGATATTAGTCTTCCTAAATAATAATAGAAACATTTGCAAACAACATATAAAATGTTAATAGTGTTTATAAATTTTGTTATTTCAGAATTTTTAACCAAATCCATTATTTGCCAACGAGGCATTCATTGAATGCAGATTTTATTAACACAATGACAGATTGTGTCCATTTTACTTTATATATATGGCTGAAAATTCTTCTTTAAAAATCTATATTGATTTTTGCAAATTGGCTGCAAATTCAATACCTCCTTAGAATAATTGATGTCACATGCAAAAAAAAATGCATAAAACAAAGTGAGAGAAACCCTGAGTTAATAACTTCATAAGCAAGGCACTAAATCTTTCCTCAGCAATTACTGTGCCTTTGTGTCTTTTACAAAATAATCCAGTAGTTATCTTTAAATTTGTTTAGAAGTTTGGACAAGTTTGTGCAGTTTGTAATGTAGAGAAAGCACTGATATTCCATCGGCTTCTGTGGAGTTCAGTACTCTATTTCATTGAAATCAGCAGAATATCCTGATGATTGTAGTATAGTTTCTTCCATTTCTAAGAGGACAGAAAGAATATTAGAAAAATCTGCATATTACTTTACAGATAAAAGTCATTTTGACTGCTAAGATGCAGGGAAGGATAGTCTAAAGCTTAGGTATCCTTTCTTTCATGAGTATTAAAGTAGAAATAATGAAAGAGCTTTAGCTCAAGAATGGTTTTGTGGACTTCTGATAAATATATCATCTTTGTAAATCTATAAAGAAACACTTGCTTGAACAGTTTTCTCTTTGTTTTAAAATTTTATACATATACATATATATTATATATATTATATATATATATATATATATATATATATATATATATATATATATATATATAATCAGTATACATATACATATACATTTACATACATACATACATATATACATACATACAGTACATATGTTTTCTTCTCTTATCGTAGGCCCTTTATGTGTATTTCTCCTCGGCCGGGTATTTTCTTAAGTAAACCAAGATTTTCAAAATGCAGCCATAGGTCAGTGAAATCCCATCCATTAGTTCTAGGCTTTATCAGATACTTGACTTGAGGGTGTGCCTAACTGATGAGGACTAATTAGTCCGAAATAGATCTATATTAGTTTCCCAAAAGGCAGCAAACTGCTTACTTGCTGTCTGATAAAGCCTAGAACTAGTGGATGGGATTTCACTGAGCTATGGCTGCATTTGAAAATCTTGGTTTACGTAGGAAAATACCCGCTGAGGAGAAATACATATGTCTCAGCTCCCTGCCCCCACACCAGCAGATATTTTGGTGCCAACCTATCTATAAGTCAAAGGCTGGGCAGCTTATCTACAACACATGATAGGATTAGCCCTCACTCAAGATCCAAAACCAGGACAAAGCCATTAAGCCATAATAGGAATTGCCCAAAGCCCCTTCATTACATCATCACCCAGCAAGATTCAACCAGGCCTGAGACAACCTACAAAGTTACCCCTGCATAGCCCCATGGGAGTCTGACAACCAATCAGAATACATTTCTTACACAGGAACAGGAAGCTCCATGGTGGGGCCCAAGAGAGGGTATAAATCTCTCTCTCACACACTTTTTTTTTCCCCAGGACCTCAAACCACACACACACACACACACACACACACACACACCACAAATTCAATCAAATTAATTTTACCTTTACAAGGTCCTCTCTGAAATGAAATGTCATCTATAGCAATGTCACTTCTTATTGATATTCCACGAATTGCTTCAAATATAATCTGCATTTTTTAAAAAAGCATAATTTATGAATAGAGTTTGATTTTATAGAAATGTATAAAGTACTGTACATACAAGATAGTAATTTCCATATAGGTATGTACATTTTTGCTGTCTCTCAAAAAACAGTAAATTATAACTAAATGGAGTAGAAGAAAGCTGTTAAATGAATATCTCTCCTGCCCTCTCCAGGCATGTTCTGGAAAGTTTGACGATCCTTAGGAATAGGATCGTCCTATTAAATAAAAATGTGCAGCTGTTCAAAATTTACTGTTAAAATATTACATTTGCTCCATTAATACCTTTGTGTTATTTGGGCCTCTTTCCTCCTCTCTCAGATTCTCCTGAGAATCTTACTTTTCATAAAGATTGACCAATCTTTCAGACAAACTGAGGCCAAGAAAATCCTACCACATAAGTTTCCTTCGAGATATATTCTGTTGTCCCTTCCCAGGAATTATTTAATATCTTTCCTCTCAATGAGTGAACCTTTTTTTTTAAAAAAAATGTAATGTTTCTTCTCATATATTTTCATTTTTTTTTAATTAGAAGAGAAAGGGAAAGTTGTTATTTATCCTCCGCATAAGACACTTGATAGCAGAGACAAGGGTTTCAGGGTAGAAGTACCATCTTACACATCAAAGCAATGATCTTCCACATTCTCTGTACTCTGCCTTGTTCAACAAGAAATAACTTCACTGGAAGAGCCTCTATCTGTGCCTTCATTAGCTGGATGTAAAGGCTCCACCAGTCTTACATTTACTTAGAGGCCTGAAGGCCACTACTCCAGATTCAGAGCAAACCTGTACGTATATTTTTTAGAAGAATTTACTTTTAGAAGCAAGAATTTTGGTTGCATCAAAATGTATTCTTCCCCCAACAGAATAACTTTCCTTTCCCTCTAATCTGGGGAGATTCCCTCTAATCTGGGGAATTGAAAGACAGTTCATGAGCACAGATCTGTACACACTTGGACTGAACCACATTGGCTGTTTTCTCAAAGAAATATATAACTGTTGCTTTGACATTGACATTCCTGCATCTCTTCCTTCAGACTATTATATGTAACTGAAATCCAAACTCTACAACATTAGATCTACACATTTAAATTATCTAAAACTGGATAGAGATATATATAGTTAGTACTATGAGCAAATAGCCGATTGAAATTGTTTGTTAGATTTGTGAAGTGTAAAGGATAAATGTTTTATCGAATTTCTCCTTTTTTGTGTATAGTTTTTAGACTACTTGAAAAACGGTTATACAGTGAAGAGTGGAGCATTTTACAAACCTCTCCTTCAGTATCGCCTTCCTAAGTAAGGACAAAAACATTGCATAGCATCTATGAAAATAGCTACAAAAAATTCTCCTAAATATAATTTTGAAAACAAACTCTCCATCAAATTAAATAAGAAACTTAGGAAAAAATACGTGAGAATTTCTGTGCATCACATCTGATACAGCTATGATTTTTAATGACAGACAGGCTTATTTTAGTTGCTTATACAATCAGTTTAGACTCAATTAATTGAAGACTATCCAGTGCTATTTTAAATTGTCATGCTTCAGTCTCATTTTTTCCTTACAAGTCTTGGGTAATTTACAACTGTTACTAGCATTTAACAAACTTGTCAACTGGAAAATTATCTCCCCAAATTTTCTGGGCTATAAGTTAAACAAATACAGATTCCTATAAAGGTCTTGTTAACTTACCTGATGAGATTTATCACATGTATATTCTATTAGGCCCCTTAACCATGAGATGCTTTGTTCACCACGTCTTCTCCAGATGAGGATCTCCTTTTTAGAACCATGCATTTTCAAATAAACATTTAACAGTCCGGTCCCACGTCCATACATATGATAAAAAAATATAAGGCACTGATGACCAAATGTCTTTCGTAATAACGTTGAAATAAGTTGTGCCTTCTGTCCATAGATCATATTAGAAGCTTCTATATACATGTAATGTCCTTCAAAAAGAAAATATATTAAAGTATATTTTAAGATATTTTATCATTCATATAGAGTGATTTAGATGTCTTAATTTTACTAGTAACAACAGTCTCCTTTCCATCACTTTTGAGAGGTTTTTTTACACCTCAAAAGTACACGTATTTCCAACATTTATTATTCTATGATTTATCTATCTTGACAGTTATTGATTTTTTCCAATATGAATTAACTTCTCTCAAATCTTACCCAAAATTATCGGAGAAGTCTGGAAAAAGTACCATAACAATTATCTTATTTATTGAAGAATGTTCAGGATAAGATTTTATTAGCATAAAAATTAAAAAATGAAGGAATAGTTTTCTCTATTTTTAAGCATGGAAATCTTGATCTGAATGTTTAATAGAAAAAAATAAGTATCAAGTGTTCTCATTTAGATTACAAATCTATCTTGGAATAAAAACTGTTCTTATTTGATATTTCATTATATTGTTTAGGTCTTATCATCATTTAAACTATAACTTACCTACCCCAGTAGTGTGGTCTCCTGTTGGACCAGTATAAGATGTAGGAGTTGGACTTCTCCTCCTATGCCAACCATGCCGATTTCTTGGTTGCAGAGTAAATGCACACTCGTTTTTTTCAAAGGTACATTCTTCAGGAAAAACAGGTGGTATATCTACCAAATACATACAGTAAAATGTAGTTATGTTTAAGTATATTTAAATATATCTAATTGACCTATGTAAAACTCCTGGTATGGATAAGGCTATCCATTTTATTCAACTGGACTTGGTATAGAAACTGCTTTTCTATCTGAATTTATTAATTTAATGTTCCTTTACTCATTATTTTTTTTAAAAAACCAATACCACATTATATTTTCTGCTTTCTAAAAATTCCAGATACTACTTTTCTAAGTAAATATGATTTTTCATTTAAAATAGACTTTATAAGTAATAACATTTACTTAGTCGCATGTTTTATAATTTGGCTGGATATTGCTAAGATAAGAGGTAATTACTAATAGAAAAACCATGTACTATTCATGGTTTAGTTAATTCAAATTTCACTGCAATACCTTGAGTTTACTCATGATTTATTAATTTATCTTGTCACAGCCAAATGTGACCATAGCAATTTACAAAATACCGTGTTTCCCCGAAAATAAGACCCTGCCTTATATTTTTTTGCCACCAAAAAAAAAGGCACTAGACCTTATTTTGGGGGGGGATTTGTCCACTGACTCATCTCACTTGTGTGTGTCACCCCTGGCCTCCTTTTCACTGTCAGAGGCCTTCAGGAACTTCAGCCAGCAAGGCTTTCCTGAAGGCCTCTGCAGCCGATGACAGAGTTCCAGATCAATCCGGAGCTCTGTTACCGGCTACAGAGGCCTTCAGGAAAGGCTTTTAGGAAAGACTTGCCGGCTGCAGAAGAAATGGGCAGAGATGTGTGAGGCCTGGCTGCAACTGTCTGAAGGTAAGTAGTAGTCCACCCCCCCCCCCCCCCCTCCCATAGCTTAATTTTTACACGTGCACCCTGGAGTGGGTGTGGTCTTAATTAGAGCTTATTTTAGGGGTAGGGCTTATATTGGGCACACATGTAAAAATCAAGCTACGACTTACTTTCCGAGTAGGTCGTACTTTCGGGAAAACATGGCATATAGAAAATAACTAAAGCATTCATGAAAACTCTAATTTAAAATGGCTTAAATCAATCAAATCACATGATAATGGAACAAAAACATGGACTATCATATTGAATCAATATAGGCATTAACAGCTAATTCTACAATATACAACTAAATTTTTGGTATTTTGCTAAAGCTAATCAGAGATAGCGCTAGTCTGATTTTGGGGGACTACCACTACTATGAGGAGCATCTTTCTGGAGCCCCTGTAACTGTCAATCATTCAGGACAATTCTTACAGTAGGTTGGATTCTTATTTTGTATATATGGAGACAGACAGACATAGACATAATGGACATTTATGCTAATGAAAGGTACCCATTTCCCCTGTATCTAAATCCCAATTTAAATGCAGATCTACCCAATTTTTTTTTAAGAGCAAGTATAGGAGTGTTTTGGAATTTGATAGAAGAAATTCTGTTTCTTTATAGGAATTTCTTGGGCATACTGAACACTCTTTGTACTCTTATTAGTTCCAATGCATGTGTCTCTGCTCAAGTACTAAAACATGAATAAACTGTGAATTTGCATCCACACCATTAAAATGGAGAAAAGCATAGTTTTTAAACTTAAATCTATATGGAATAGTGTATGATAACCTGAAACAAATATATAAATTAGGGGAAAGTTATACCAAACAGATCACTAATATCAGAAAGTTTACATCAATGGTAATAAATATACATACTACAGATTTGAAATGTAATTAATTTTACCAGCACTATGACAGCTTCCCAAATTCACTGATATATCATCTAGTGCCACTATTCCACAATCCCAAAAGTTTCTACACCAGCTCAGAAACACCACCTGAAATGTGCACAAAAATACAGTCAATCTTAATTTTTCCAACCCCATTTCCCCCAAAATGCTCTTTTAATCAGTTGACTTCTATAAAGCATTTGAAAGAGATGCTTTATAAAGCATATGAAATATTTGAACACACATTCCTTGAACTGCTTCAACATCCTTTGAAATTTGCTTCAAAGGATGTCAGTACATATGGGCATGTATTCACTTTACTCATGATCTTAAACAAAATGTTCTCAATCTATGTACATATCACAGACAGTAAGGGACAAATCTTGAAGCTAACATTTTCCCAATATTTGTGGGAAAAATGTATTGCTTACTACAACTAATTTGCAATCTCAAATGCTCTGAATACATGAAGCAATCAATTTGTATTTCTTGCATTATTTTGTCAGTTATATGTAAAGAAAATATTCATTTTCATTTCATTTCCATTTTAGCACAAATCTGAATTAAACAGCAATTTGGCTTATCCAGATTTTTCATTAATGAAACAGCTAAGAAATTCCTAGCTAATTCTATGGTATTACTAGAACTTGAAACATGTATAGAATATTTATATTTGAGGTTATTGTTTCAAATTATATTTGTTCTGTAGGTGAAATAAGTATACAAACAATTGAAGTAGAAATATTATTCAGGCATTTGAGACTTTCCTCAAAAGAACACAATAATGATCTGTGGAGTCCTTGATACTCTCTGGCTTGATAGTTTGCTTGCAGATGTTTCATTACCTGACTACGGTAGGTAATTTTGTTTTATTTTTCTTTTCAAATGGCAGCTATTGGAATTGTATGTAGGCAGTTTTTTGGGTATTGCCAGAAGGATCTTTCAATTCCCTACCATCTAGGTCCAAAAATAACTTTCAATCAGAGTAACCAATGCCATTTCCATTCCATGACCAGATCAGAATCCTTACTGGTAGAGATCTAGATAATCTGCTTCCTATAAGGAAGGGGCTTCTTCAGGAAAGAGTTGCACTCATAACATCCCCCATAGCAGATGACACTTAGATTTACCCCTCTCTCTCTCTCTCTCTCTCTCTCTCTCTCTCTCTCTCTCTCTCTCATTTAAAATTGCCCGGGAGAGGGAGCGAACAGCTGAGAGGCGCTTCGCGCGCCCGGCATCCCTATAGCCGCTTCTCGCCGGATCGCAAGTCGGGGAGGCGCTGCTTCGCGGGCACGATCACGGCTGTGTTGGCTTGGCTGCGAAGAGGAGCGATCAGGCGCAAGGGCGCCCTTTGCCTTCTGTCAGAGTTTCCCGCCGGACAGACATCGGAGCGACGGCCGCCATTACAGAGGCGGCGGCGGCCATTTTGTGAAAGATTGCGGGCCCTTACAAAACCCTGGGATTGCTTTGGTGGCTATAAACAATCGCAGGGCTAATATATTACGGGCTTGAGCTCAGCGGCTTCTGAGCCTTTGACCCACTTCTCCAGGGGCTCTTTCAGGTGGAATTTTCTATCTCTACCACCCTGTGTTGAGGCCTGTCTGCCCTAAAGCCAGAGCTCAGCGACTTCTGAGCCTAGTGCTGCTTAATCTGCGGGACACACACACTCAACTGTTGAGAGTCCTGGTCAGTTGCCTTATTTCGCCCTCCTGTCAATCAATATGGCGGATATTCCTCTATCTTCTGACTCTGATTTAGACTGCTCCCCTCCACGACCTCAACAGCAGGCTCGTACAAGCAAAGCCAAGACCAGACAGCGCAAAGGGTCTACAAGGGCTGAGCAACGCAGACATCAAATTTTGGAAAAACAGTTTGAAAGGGCACGACAGGAATTATCGACTCAGGGACAGCCCTCCACCATGGATGATGGAGCAGGTCCTTCCAGAGCCTCTCAAGTGAGACCCAATTCAGGCAGAGAGACTTTGCAACCCCTTTCCAACCTTTGCCACTCCAGGGGCGTGTCTATGTCACTGCCTGATGTGTCACACCAATCCGTACCAGCCGGTTCTTCTGCTCAACGTCGTCTACCTGAAGCGACCTTTACACCGACGGCTGCTGGTCTTCGACCTGAAACATCGGACAATCCAGTTAATTTTCAAGCAGCCTTGTCGGATGCGTTGGCTAAGATTCTTGCAGCTGGAATACAGCAGGGAGCAGTGGGTGCCGCTCCTCATCCAATTGATCCACCGGTTCCAGCTCGTGCTGAACCCAGACCTGTACATGTTACTACTCACCAGAAAGATGATGATTCCTCGGATGAATTTGAATCAGGAGAGATTTGCCCGGAGGACGTTGAATTTTCGGAGGACGAAGGACTCCCACCGGATAAACCTGTCTTCACTAGTCTCTTCCGTCCTTCTGTATTTAAATCCTTGCTCCACAAAGCCAAAATCACCACAAAGTTTGGCATTTCGGAGCAACCGGACAGTACTTCTCAATCATCATCATCAACTCCACATGATGCTCTTTTTCACGTGTCAAAACCGGATCAAGACGTCATTCCTTACCCACCGTTATTCTCGAATGTCATCAATTCTGCCTTTGGCCAACCTGGCTCCTTATCTTCACCCAGTGGCATAGATAAACGGCTTTATGCTTCCGCAAAAGAACTAGAAGATACATTGGCCTTACCTTTGGTGGATTCCCCAGTGGCTAGTCTGTCCACCTCTTCTTTATTGACCTCAGACATTGTGGATGGTCTCAGGGCTGAAGACCGTAAAATGGAGCTCGGATTTCGGAAAGCGCACCAGGCGGCGGCTTGGGCAATAAAGGCGGCCACAGCAACATCGTTTTTTAATCGCGCTGCTTTAATCTGGCTCAGGCAATTGCAGGAGAGATTACCTCCTGATGATACACGGCTACATCAGGACATTAATAAGTTAGTGGCCGCAACGGAGTATTCAGCCGACGCCTCGCTCACAGCGGCCAAATTCGCCTCCAGATCCATGGCAGCATCTGTGACAAATCGCCGTTTGTTTTGGCTCCGTAACTGGAGAGCGGATGCCAGAGCTAAATGGAAGTTGGCGTCGGCCCCCCTACTCAGCTCCTTCTCTCTTTGGTGCCGCACTCGAACCTATCTTGATAGAGGACAAGGATAAACGCAAAGTCCTCCCGTCCTCCTTTCGTAGACCTGAGAGGAGATACACCCCTTACTCTCAGCGTCAGCCCTTTCGGGCCTACTCAGGGTCAGGCGGACCCTACTTATCTCGACCATATTTCCAGTCTTCGGATAGGACCACCGACAGGCATCAATTCCGAGACAGGTCCAGGGGCCAGTCCCAGCCAAAGCGCCCCTTCCGAGGATCCAGTTACCGACAGGCTCGCAGGGGCAAGTGACGCCCCCAAGTCAGGTCCTATTGGGGGTCGACTCCAGCTCTTCCACCTCCAGTGGGACCTTTCAACATCGGACGCCTGGATCAGGTCCCGATCCAGCAGGGCCTTCGCATCGAATTCCACTCCACTCCACCCATCAGGTTTCGCACCTGTCCTGTCCCGCATTGTTCCCTAAAGAGGAAACTCATGGACTCGGAGATATTCCATCTTCTCTCAATCAAAGCGATAGAGCCGGTGCCCCAGGGACAGGAATGCACTGGATTTTACGCTACCTTTGTTTCTGGTGCCCAAGTCATCGGGGGTCACAGAGCCATCTTGAACCTAAAAGGACTCAACCGATATGTTCGGTATCGCAGGTTCAAGATGCAGTCTCTTCGTTCGATTCTGACGGCTGTCAGACCCAACGACTTTCTACAATCTGTGGACCTGCGCGAGGCCTACTTACATGTCCCAATACATCCGGCCCACCGTCGTTACCTGAGGTTTACCTACAACAACCACCACTATCAATACCGCGCGATGCCTTTCGGGTTATCATCGGCGCCCAGGACCTTCACCAAACTGGTGGAGGTAGTGGCAGCGGCGGTCAGGACTCACGCAATCCGCTTAATGTGTTACCTGGACGATATCATCGTCATGTCGCATTCCCCGGATCAAGCAATGAAGGACATGAAGTTGGTGTTGGAGATATTCCAGGCCCACGGTTTTTTCCATCAACCGTCAAAAGAGCCATATGTACCCAACGACCCGCCTCCAACATTTGGGAGCGATAATCGATTCACAACTGGGCCAGGTCTTTTTGTCCCCGACCCGCATTCAGGACCTCAGAACGATGGTCACACAGGTACAGGACCAGAGGAAAGTGCCACTACTCCTCTTATCTCAACTGCTAGGGAAGATGGTGTCCTGCATATCCATCGTGCCGTGGGCTCGCAGGCATGCCCGCCCCCTGCAGTGGCGACTACTTCCCTTTCAGAGACAGGGCCGCAGCACCTCCAGTTTTCCGATTGTCTTACCTCCTCAGGTTCGCCTATCTCTTCGGTGGTGGAGGTCTCCCGCACTTCAGAAGGGGTGTCTGTTTCTCGAACCCAACCGACTGGTCCTGACATCAGACGCAAGTCTTCGGGTTGGGGTGCCCACCTACAGGACGCGGTGGTACAAGGTCAGTGGTCTCAGGCGGAGCAGGCGAACAGCATCAATTGGCTGGAATTGAGGGCTGTTCGCCTCGCATTACGCCACTTCCGTCACGTTCTAGAGGGACAACATGTGCTGGTCCGAACGGACAACATCACCACCAAGGCACACATAAATCGAGAGGGGGGCACACGCTCCAGGGCCTTGATGATGGAGTCCGAGAGACTGTTAGCCTGGGCGGAGCTCCACACAGCATCTCTGGTGGCAGACCACATTTCGGGACAGTCCAACGTGAAGGCAGACTGGCTAAGCAGGGTGCACATCGACCCTGCGGAGTGGAGCCTGAACCACGCCATCTTCGAGCAGCTGACACACAGGTTCGGCCGACCTCAGGTAGACATGTTTGCCACAGCCCAGAACGCCCAGCTACCCCGCTTCTACTCACGCTATCCAAGCGCACGATCAGAGGGCAGCGACGCGCTACGTTGCCAGTGGCCCACCGGACTTCTTTATGCCTTTCCCCCAATTCCTTTAATCCCTCGCTTAATTCGGAAACTGATCCGAGAAGGTGCAGAGCTGTTGCTGATAGCCCCGCTATGGCCTCGGAGACCCTGGTATGCGGATCTACTGGAACTCTCCATCGCCCCGCCTGGACGTTACCGGTCCGGACGGACTTGCTAAGCCAGGGGGTCGTCGTCCACCCAGATCCGCAATGGCTCCGATTAACCGCCTGGCGTTTGAGCGGCTCCAGTTACAGAAGGACAGACTGTCCGTTGGGGTCATCTCTGTGATTCAATCAGCCAGACGTCCCTCCACGACACGAATTTACGAGGCTTCGTGGCGTGCCTTTACAACCTGGTGCCTGGGGCACCATGTGGACCCCACCTCTCCAGATATCCCAGATGTGTTGGACTTCTTACATGATGGCCTTTCCAAAGGCCTCGCCCCAGCGACGTTGAGACGCCAGGTGGCTGCACTTTCCACTGTTATCGTCTGCGAGCGCCACCGCTCTCTCTCTTTGAATCCCAGAATCCGGGCGTTTTTGCACGGTGCCACTAACATCTCACCACCAGTGGTGCATAGGTACCCTTCATGGGACCTTCCACTAGTTCTTAAAGCTCTAACTTCAACACCGTTTGAACCTTTAGCATCTATATCTCTGAAATTTCTTACCTTCAAAGTCGCCTTTCTTCTGGCGATCACGTCCGCGCGGCGGGTGTCGGAACTCGCCGCTCTATCCATACGCAAAGAACTCTGTATTTTTCACAGCGACAGGGTTGTCCTGAGGTTGGACCCAGCGTTTGTACCAAAAGTCAATTCGCTGTTTCACAGAACCCAGGAGGTGATAATACCCGACTTTTGTCCGAATCCTCATCACCCGTCAGAGACTCTATGGCACACTCTGGACGTGCGTCGCGCGCTCTTCGTCGCTATATCAGGCGTACAGAATCCTTCCGACAAACCGAGGCATTGTTTGTTTCCTTTCATCC